TTTTGGCTGTTTATGACTTTCACGCACCCATAAAATCACAGCGTGTTAAATCAGCATGTGCTCCGTGGTTAAATAAAAACCTAAAGGAGCTTATGTTTAAGAGAGATGCTTTGAAAAGGAAAGCTAGTATAACTTCCTTACCCGATGATTGGAGAAACTACAAACAAATTAAAAATACTGTAAACATTGCAATAAAATCAGCCAAATCTGCATATTTTGATAACAAATTCAATTCTTGCAAAGGAGATATTAAGAAAACCAGGAAAACGCTAAATAATTTATTATCGCGTAAAACAAATCAATCAACTACGATAAAAAAAACTAGCTACTGGTCACAGTGAATTAAACGATCCGTATCAAGTCGCAAATTACGTAAACCAGTATTTTGCAAATATAGGCGAAAAACTAGGCAATTCAACGACTGATACAAATATACCATTTGAGAAATATATCACACCATCCAACATTGAATTTACTTTAGAGAACACCTGCTCGTCTGAAGTTTTAAGTATTTTAAATTCATTAGCTACATGCAAAGCCACTGGATTGGATGGTATATCCACCAAAATCCTCAAAATGTCAGGCCCAATAATTTCACCTTGGTTAACTGTTATTTTCAACCCTTCTTTTAAAACTAACTTCAACTTTTCCAAGTGAATAGTGGAAGTTAGCAAAAGTTTTTCCATTATTTAAAAATAAGAAAGGAAACAAAAGAAATAACGCTGAACACTACCGCCCGATTTCAATTTTACCGGTTGTGGCAAAATATCGGAAAGAATCGTGTATAATCAATTATACAACTATCTTACCAAACACAATATTCTGTCGAAAAATCAGTGAGGATTTCGAACAAAACATTCTACCGTTACTAGTCTTTCACATGCAACCAATGAATTTTACACCAATGCTGATAACGGATTAATTACTGGAGTCATATTTATTGACCTAAAAAAAGCTTTCGACTCAGTAAATCATGAAATATTATTACGAAAGCTTGACCTGTATGGCCTTAAAGGGGATACTCTGCACTGGTTCAAAAGCTATCTTAGCGATAGGCACCAAAAATCTTTTGTAAATATGAAATTGTCAAATGAAGCTATTATTAAATGCGGTGTTCCACAAGGATCAATTTTGGGTCCATTGCTATTTCTAACATTTATCAATGATCTTCCAAACTGCCTTGTTAATTCCAAAGCTGGCCTTTATGCCGATGATACTCAAGTGTATACTGCATCGCAGAATATATCTGAACTTGAAATTAAGCTAAATAAAGATCTAGCTGAAATTGAAGTATGGCTTTGTGCTAACAGATTACAAGTCAACATCACTAAAACCGAATACATGTTAATCGGAACTGACCACAGACTAAGTAATTTGGACCATGAACCAGTCCTAATACTCAATCATAACAAGCGAGTTTCAAAATAAAAAATATTAGGATTAATCTACGATGAGCATCTTTCGTTGGGACGATCACGTCAATGAATTAATCGAAAAAATTACTCAAGCTTTAAAACTGATACGACGTGTTAGCTCTTTCATGTCCAGACAAAATCTGTTACTAATTTACCATAGCTTAGTTGAACAACGACTAGCCTATTGTAGCGAAGTTTGGGACACTCTGTCTAATGGCCTATCTCAAAAATTGCAAAAATTGCAAAACAGGGCAGCCAGAATCATCACACAGAGCGCGTATGACGCTTCATCTAGTGAATTACTTGTTGAACTTAGGTGGCGTGCACTTGCTCATGAGCGAAGAACTAAAAAAGCTATCATGATGTACAATGTGCTTGACAACTTGGCTCCTGAGTGTTTAAAAGATTTGTTTCGCGAAACCAATCAAGTACATGATCATGATTTGCGTAACTCTGATCTAAATCTTTTACCCCCAAAACCAAAGAGCAATCTTCTCAAAACTAAGAGTTTTTCATACAGCGGAGCTGTAATCTGGAACTCTCTTCCAAGACATGTTCACTTGGCTAATTCGCTAACAGAATTTAAGAGGTCGCTAAAATTTAGTGTGTAATTCTCCAATAGCGTATAGCCTATACAGTATGATATTATATTATAGTTTTATATTAATTTTTCATGTCATTAGTTTTGTAACTTTATATATATATATATATATATATATATATATATATATATATATATATATATATATATATATATATATATATATATATATATATATATATATATATGTGCTTTATCGCCGTTTTTAAACTGTGAAATGCAGTGAGCGTGCGCATAAAGGCTTAGGCATAATGTGTGGTATATAAAGTTCTGTAGTGTCCCACATCCACCACACTGTCTTCTATAGTATATATATTCTTGGTATGTGGAAGCCCATCATTGGTGCACTGTGCTGATGAGCCCCAAAAAGGGCGAAACAGCTGTCCACAGTTGCCGTTGTTTGAGCTTTCCTTGAAGGGCGCTACAATGTCTTTACTTATGTGCTTTATCGCCGTTTTTAAACTGTGAAATGCAGTGAGCGTGCGCATAAAAGCTTAGGCATAATGTGTAGTATATATATATATATATATATATATATATATATATATATATATATATATATATATATATATATATATATATATATATATCTCTCTCTATATATATATATATATCTCTCTCTCTATATATATATATATCTATATATATATATATAACTACAGACGGTACCGTTTCGGCCTAATGGGCCTCATCAGTGTAGTGCTGATGAGCAGGATGAAAGTAACCCTTATTTATAGTTACCTTTGATGCCTCACGATTGTGGGACATCAAAACCATGCCAGAGCGCTCAAACTGCAAGCAGTGAGCGTGCGCAATGCGTAAGCGGCATGGCTCATCCTGTAGAGCGCTCAATATGACCTAAAGGCCATATATATATATATATATATATATATATATATATATATATATATATATATATATATATATATATATATATATATATATATATATATATATACATATATATATATATATATATACCGGGTGTCCCAAAAAAAAGTACTCCGGTTTGATTTATAATAACTTCTAAACAAGTAAAGCTATCAAACAGAAATAACTTGCATTAAATAGAGGAAGGACTAACTTAGATTTTGATATATTACAGTTGTATTTTACTTAAAAATTCACGGAGATATTAATGTTCAAAATCGGGAGCATATTTTGGTATGTGTCTAAAATTAGCGAAAATCGGCATATCAAATATTAACTCCAGCGTTTGTTTGCTTAATGACATATCAGGCTAACTGGTATTTCAGCGAATTGTCGTTAGGGTTTGTAAGGGATATGGCGTAGATTAAGACATCTTACATGTAAGTCTTAGCTCATTGTTTCCTGAAATATGAACGTTCAAAATTATGAAAGTATTTAATAGGTCTTTGGCTTTGCAAACTTAAAGGTACATGAAAGACCTTGAAGGCAGGCGCTTAAATTTTTCTTAAATAGCCTAATTTTTTTATGTTTTACATGGGTTCAAAACAAAGTTGATTATTTCTCGGTTAGAGCAGGATGAATATTATTATTTAATGAAGGAAATAATATTGCTTTTTGCAAACACACATCACAGTATCAACGCTACTATTTTGTTACGTTTTGTTCCAAAAATGTTGGATGTCTCTGGGGAGTTGCTTGTTATGTCTTTAATTATGGAGTTATATGGTTTGATCGTGTTTCATTCTGAACTTGCCAAGATTAAGAAAGGCAAAAGAGTTTGGGTGTTCTTAACACGATTTCAGAACGTTGCAGAAGTTAGAAAATTCATTCTATGTGAAGTTAGAAAATTCACAATTCCATTGTGACAGCATGCCCTAATTCAGAACTACGAACGATCCATGACGATCCTTCGCGATGCAGTGGCCTCATGAAATAAGGAAATTAACGTATTCGTGCTGGGAACACATGCGGATTTCGGACGAATAAATCTTGCTTTTATTTTGTAGATAATAATACTTTGTTTCATAATAAACGATTTGTCAAGTGTCATTTATTTACTGGTAATAGTGCATGTTTCAGTCGGGCAAATCTTGATTAATATTTGATACGCCGTTTTTTGCATATTTCAGACACATCCAGAAATATGCTCCCGATTTTAAACATTAATATCTCTGTGAATTTTTTAGTGAAATACAACTGTAATATATCAAAATCTAAGTTAGTCATTCCTCTATTTGATGCAAGTTATTTCTCATTAAAAGCTTTACTTGTTTAGAAGTTATTACGAATCAAACCGGAGTACTTTTTTTTGGGACACCCGGTATATATATATATATATATATATATATATATATATATATATATATATATATATATATATATATATATATATATAGATATATATATAAACTATATATATATATATATATATATATATATATATATATATATATATATATATATATATATATATATATATATATATATATATATATATATATATATAGTACAATCTGCAGACATGCATGTTTCGGCGTTCAACGCCTCGTCAGTGCAGCTTGGTACACGTCTAGATACGTGAGCCAATCGTATTTATACCCCCATGAACTTGCTCTCACCAAGGCATGTGGTACAACACGGTGAATCAACGCATCCAGACATGCGCAGAGCGGAATGGGGCCAGAGTGCTCAAACGGCCACAAGGGAAGTGAGCTTTGCATTAGCGCTAATAGATACCCATTAACAACTCCACAGAGTGCTCAACAACACCGAAGTGAAGGATATATATGTAATCTAAAGTATCTAACGTTGAATATTTCTCTTCAGTGATGCGATACCTCCGCTCTTCAGCGAATATAACTTTTACCCTGGCAACGAGCAAGGCTATCATAACACCAACACCGTCAACTACTTTGTGTAAGTACATTTCAAACTGTTCGTAATCTTATCTAATCTATTGAAATACATTAACGCAAACCGCTTGTGCTTGTGTATATTTATAATCTAACGTTGGATATTCCTCTTCAGTGAAGACAGTTCTCTATAACGTTACCATGCCAATGAGCGAGGCTATCGGAACCCCAACACCGTCGATTACTTTGTGTAAGTACATTTCAAACTAGTCGTATAACCTTATCTAAACTATTGAAATACATTAACGCAAACCCATTGCTTGTTCCGAAAAATCTGACTGGGCATGTCCTAAGTCAGTTTTCCTGACTTCAATCGTATCGTAACGTATCGTACCATTTTCTTTTGTGTCGAAATCATTAGCTTCACGCCAGTGCTCAGAAAACAAAGAAATACGCTACGCTTCGATGTGATTGAAGTGTAAAACAGGCATTAGCCAATAAAAATGTTATAAACGCTCCGGTATAGTTTAGTGTGAAACTCGTTTCATAGTTCATGAAGAAAATTGAAACGAAATCAGTGTTTAATGAAGTGTTCTACCCGCATACACAAAATGTTTTTGATTTGCATATCAACGTTTTCCTCCATTTTCTCAGTTAAAATCACTTCAAATAATTTGATTTGTTGGGTTTTTGAGAGTTTTCGCTCGTTTTCATTTCACCAACTTTATACGTTTTAATTTAAATTGAATACATGGTAGTGTTGGGAAGGCATTAAGAACAGCAAAGCAAGGTCTCGTGCCTGCCAACTCTCATGCACTCTCATGCTCGTTTGATCCAGACTTTAATATCCAGTCAACTTTTATCAACTCTCATGCAACTCTTGTTCTCGTTTGACTGGGGCGTGAGAGACGAGAAAACTCTCATGCAAACTTTCGCTTCTCAACTCTCATCAACTCTCATTTTCGTTTGACCAGGACTTTATTCGGACTCGTTTTAATTTTTATTTTTTTAATTGCTTTTCATCCACTCAAATGACAAGTTTCAACTAAATCTTCGTCCTACTGAAATCTAAACCTTTCAATATCACGTTATTCGTTAATGATATTTTTCAGAAGAATACTTTAAAAACGGAAATTTTGAAGTAAATATTTCAAGAAAACGTTGATCTTATATAATCCTCTGTAATATTTTATTTTCTTTCACTTATGTATCTATAATCTAATGTTGAATATTCCTCTTCAGTGAAGACAGTTAACGTTACGACCCCGCTATGGCCAACGAGCAAGGCTATCATAACACCAACTACTTTGTGTAAGTATACATTTCAAAGTATTCGTAATTTTATCTAAATTATTTAAATACTATCGCAAACCTGTTGCTTGCCCAAAAAATTTGACTTGACATGTCCAAGCCGATAAAAATGTTATAAATGCCCCGGTCGTATAGTTTAGTGTGGAACTCATTAATAGTTCATGCATGAGCGAATTCAAAAGAAATCAATGTTTAATGAGGCGTTGTTTCACCATATACAAAATTCTCCTCATTTGCATAAACTTTTTGAGTTGTCGAGAGTTTAAGTTTTTATTTTATCAACTCGTATGAAATTCTTCTTCTCGTTTGAACCGGGACACGAGTTGAGAAAACTTTCATGCAAACTCTCGCTACTCAACTCTCATTAACTCTGATTCTCATTTGAACCGAGCTTTATTGACTTCATTTTTATTGTTTTAAATTTCCTTTAGTAAATCCAAAAATCGTGAACATAACAGCAAGTTCCGAGACACTTTTTGACGACATCTATTTAAGGTGTGAAGTTCAGGGGAATCCTTCACCTAATGTTTGGTGGACTAAAAACGGTAGCTATATACAAGGTTACAACATCGAGTTTCAAGATAACAACAGAACTCTTATCATCACGAGAGCTGTTTCTGACGACGTTGGAACGTATTACTGCCACGCAAGAAACAACGTGTATTATGTTAATGCATCTTTTGTACTATACTTGACATGTAAGGTTTTTTAGCTTTCACTCTGTGGTTATTGAAATTTTATCAATGATTTTTTGGATTCCTAACTGAATTTTCTCTATTTGATGAGTACTCAAAGAGTATTATACTGTTATTATTAATATTATTATTTTTGTGCAATATCATTCTGTCCTGGCCTCTTGTTCAGAGACCTACCGAATGATGCGGGACGGAACGCAACATCGTTTTACCCACTACAACAAGATTTTGACCCGGAAACTAAATTTAAGACACGATGGATTTTGCAATTGGTTGATTATATAAAAAGTAAAAAAAGGATAAAATTATAGAAATCGTCTTTCTAAAAATGAAGTCACAAACAGCAACCGATCGTCACTTTTGTTTTAGCAATCAATCGAAGATCATGTTCGTGTTATTTCGGCTCCGTTGACTTTGGGTATTTGCATGCTGGCCGTGTTTTGTTAGTCGTTTTATTGTCATGGATTGTGATCAGGGGCGCAACTTGACTGTACGTATTAGGGAGGGCGGGGGGAGTTCTTCTTGCCCCTTCTGTGGATTGTATTTTGCGCCTTTGTGGATTGTACAAATACAACTTTTTTTTACTTAATAATTATTTCACTGAAATGTTTTGAAGAAAGAGATGAAATGTTTTATGTGCTATACTGTTTTATTAGTTGTTATTATGGGGTATAATTATCAATCAAAAGTAATTGTTAATTGTGATTTTTTGTAGATCCTCCTAATACTGTTATCTATACATCGAATGGTTATTATGTTGAATTGTACAATGGAGAAAAGGGTGTTGGCATTCGCTGTTTTGGTGCAGGGTATCCTAACGTACGAGTGACTTGGAAAAGAAATGGAGTTGAAATTTTGGAATTCTCAAACTCTTCTCTAAATACCAGGGTGTATCAGGAAAGACTAAAATTAGGGCTTACTTCTGCCGAAAGTGATCTCTCTTTCAAAGAATTCTACTGCAACGATACAGGAATTTATACATGCGAAACCTCCAGGGACGGATCTGATTCCGTTGCTACAAAATCTATTGAATTGAAATGTAAGTAAATGATATGTACCTACTTTATGGTTTGTATGAATCGGACTTTCATTTATTATTACATCGCAACGCCAAATATGGATTCTTCAATGTAATTTTGTCCTCAGGCGTTTACCTCTTGTGGAGGAAAGACCCTGGTAGGAGCTGTCACGTGATCTGCTAAAATTTTGCCAATTCATTGATGACGATGTTCATAAATATTTGGTATTTATGCTTTAATTTATAACTTGCATTTTGTTTTGCAAGTTTGATTTGATTTTAGAGGAATCCAAGATAGTTAGTTAGAAATTTGCTAGATTTTAGCAGAACACTTGACTAGCTCTAACTAGGGTCTTTTCTCCACAAAAGGTAAGAGCCTGGCATTGGGAACGAGGTTGACAATAATATGCTATGACTGAGCGCTGAACGAAATTTGCGCATCCACTCTGTGGACTATAAAAGCGCGGCAATATTTTCAAATATAAACAAATCTAATTCAACTTATCATTTTTGGAGGCAAGCTACAGTCACAGTGTAGATCCGACTCAGCCAAATACCCGTAACCACTGCAACACCGCCATGATTAACAATGATTTGCCAAAGAAATGCGCTCGCGATGTTCCTAACCAACGCGTTTACGGTCGAGGCGCATTCATTCACCTGAGCGTCCGCCATTTTGAATGTTTTCAAGGACGTAAATGCATGTGTCTCGTAAGCAGTGGCAGATTACTGGTGAATGACTGAGCTGTTGGTTAGGTAAATTTGCGAGCCTTGAGATTAGACGGAACGACAACGAATGTGTACATGCAACATGGCTCATAAATTTCTGGATCATTAATAAATTCAGCCTTTGTTGACGTTTGCGTTCCGTCCGTTCCTTTAAGTGGGGCGAGCCTGAGCGAGCCCCACAGTTTTGGTGGCTCATCGAGCTCAAGCGCAATGCATTATGGTGCGTATATTTCCCGATATAATCACCTCACCTTCGGTGAATAATTGTTAAATATCAATAATTGAATAATAATAATGATAATTGAATAATTGTTAAATATCAATAATTAAATAATAATAATTGAATAATTGTTAAATATCAATAATTGAATAATTGTTAAATATCCGAAGGGCGGAGTGTTTTCACACAATTTCGAGTTTTCCCAATTTCCACGAGTGTTGATATATTTTAACTATACATAGTAACAGGGCCGCCGAGAGGTTGGCGTATTTTGGTATTTTGTCCAAAAAAACAAATATCTTGCCCTTTGCGCGAAAATATTTGACCCAAAAAGAACCTGGGGGCCCGGGACAATTTGCCCCCCTCTCGGCGGCCCTGCATAGTAATAGTAAATAAGACACACCTGCACACTTGTCAACAAGATGTGTTTCCAACAGGCTTGTTAACAAGCTTGTCAACAAGTTGTAACAATGTTGTTATTTTATCAAGTTGATACCAAGTTGTTAAATTGGAGGATGGTATAACAAGTTGTTGGAACAACTTGTAACAAGTCTGTTGAATCAACAACCTTGTAGCGAGTTGACCCGAGGCAAATTTTCATACTGTTATTTAAAATCTTTAACAGGTAATTCGAGTAGTTCCACCCAGTCCACTCAGTCTACCCGGTGGCCACCGACTACCTTCGTACCAACACCAACACCAACAGTACCTTGGCGTAAGTGTATATTATGAAATATAGTTAATCTTATAAGATACATTACAGAACATCTCTTATCCGCAGAATCGTTTTAATTGAAAACGCGTGGATCAAGGGATAATGGAAACAATTACGTCGCTCACTTTTCCCATTCTTCCAATGATACCTTAACCGCTTTCACCAATTGCCCGAATGCGTTATGTTTTCTCACCTTTCCGTGTTAGAGCCCGCATTTTCAATTAATTAAAACACCTCTGCATATGGAAGAAAAAGTTACAGAACACCTCTTTCCAAAGAATTGTTATAATCATTCACGACGTACTGCGAATGTTTTAAAATGCTTCAAAAATGATCGATCTAGTAAGTTCATTGGAGAAGTAATTTTCAAAAAATACGTTGTGTAAGTCGAGAAAATCAAAGTTAAAGTTTATGTAAATCAACTAATCAAGGGAAATCTCTATCACATATAAAGATACAACACGCTTATGATTTTTCTTAGAATGTTAGGGTAGAATTGGGGATGTAGAAGCAATAAGATTTTGAATTAATTCTAATATTAATTCCATTCTAATATTAATTCTAATATTAATTCCACCAAGTGAAGTGCAGAATCTAAGTTATGATTTTTCTTTGTGTTTTAAATGCGTTTTTGAGCAAAGTTTTTCTATCTATCGATCTTCTATCTATCTTACCTTTCCTTGCCTTAACTTTCCTGACCTCGCTTATTGCAGCACCTGCAAGCTTATATGTGATGCCAGACAATCCAACAGTGGTTGAAAACAGTTCTATTGTTTTGTCTTGTGATTGTGGATGTTCAATCCGACCGCATTGGTTAAAAAACAATCAATTGATTCGGTACGACGGATCTGGATCTCCATACACATTGTTGGCAAATGGAAGCTTGCGTATCAATGCTTCCAGATGGATCAATACAACGGGAAACTACAGCTGCGAAATTAGAACGTTTTTTTGGCGTGTGAGATCAAAGCAAGTTAAACTAGAAATATGGTGTAAGTATAGATTTATAAGATCTCAAATTGTTTTCTGCTTATCTCCATAAACTTTCTATGGTTAATCTGCAGCAATTATAACCACTGTGCTCTTTATCTTTTAAAGGCACAGTTCAGCCTTTTGAATGATGGTCTTTAAGGCACATTACAACCCTTTTAATTGAAAACACTAACTAGGAAAAGCATAATCCAAGATCAATCAACTCAAGGTTTTCAACATTAAAAAATGTTAAAAAATGTTAAAAACATTGAGATCACTGCATGATCTTGAATTATGTTTAATTGATTTCCCTAGTTAGTTTTTTTTTAAAATTAAAATTAATTAAAAGGGATGTAATGCGCCTTAAAACCCATCATTCAAAAGGCTGAACTCTAAGGACGACTTCTTCTGCCTAGTTCCGGTTGATCCGGTGTTGGCTGTTCGGTTTTTCATCCTCTATTATTTTCAAATAGGCCTCGTTTTCGTGATTGAGACGCTTGGATTTAACTAATTTCACACACACGAAATCGAGGCTCTATAGCCAAAATGACATACTTTCCCGAAGGGAGTATTGTTTTATCCACAATAAGTTCTTTGATATATTTTATCTTCTTTTAGACAGTCCATAATTCACTTTTTCTTCCAAGGGTCATGCTGAGGTCTCCCATTTTTCATAATGGTAGTTCTAAAAGTTAAAAATGGGTATTTCTAAAACTTAAAATGTCAGTTCTAAATAAAATTAAGTTTTTGTGTTTCATGTAAAAAAATTACTTTTTATATAAATTAAGCATTCACAAAGAGATTTAAGGAAAAAAACAATATCAAATTTCACTCTGAAGACATAGCTAGCAAATGGCCATTCCGGACTTCAAAAATTCTAAATTTTCTAAGCGAGCATACCAATGCATCCCCAGCTATTCTGGAATCGACTACTAACCAGAATAATGCCTCACCACTGCCTCACTGTCTGTTCTCCTTGTTAAAGTTGGCAGTTCCAAATTTTTCTTAGGATGACCCTTGTTTTTTCGGTCGCCTCATCCTCTATTGCCTTTTACTTCAACCTTCATAATGCTTCTGTCCAGCTATCGTTCATCTCTTCTTATTTCGTTTCTATACCTTCTCAGCCTTGTTTCCCTCACCTTCTCTGCTTCTCCTGTTTTTGCCAACACGGACCTCACCTGAAAATTAGTATAATTGATCTTGGCGGCATTTTGTATCACAGCGCTCGCGCAAGGAAGAAAACAAAAATCTTATGTGTTGTCATAATTATGTGTTGAAGATTACCACAAACTGATACAAATACAGTATTTAATCCAGTCCCCCCTCTGAAATTTGACGTCCGTGTTGACAAAAACGTTGTATATGTTATAAGCTCTTATGTGTAATATAGTTCATAATGACCAATATATTTTATGATTTATAGATTTAGATGATTGTTATGTAACAGGCGGGCAAGAAATTTATCGAGGACAAAACATTAGCTTGACTTGTCATGGAAACGGAGTCCCATATCCTACATTTAGATGGTATTTAGGTGGACAACAACTTAAGACGAATTCGCGGATACGAATACAGGGAAACCAGTTAAACATTTTCAATGCTACTTTAAACGATGACGGAAAATATAAATGTGGTGCTTTTAATCAAATCGGCAAGGTTTGGGATGGAGTGAACGTTACAGTAAAAGGTTTGTAACCTTTTCTTCAGCTTGAATAACGTTCACCATTGATTTCTAGAATGACTGACGAAGCAGATGAAAAATTCATCGACACAATTACTTCATTCCTTCTTATTTTTAAAACTAGACGGGAGAATTTTTTTTCTAATTATGAATGAAACGGTCTGACAGTTATTGAGTATAGCAGTAAGATATAATTTATAATAGTTTTGTTTGTGGAAACACCACGTATATATAAAACTATTATATGTTTTATCGCTATGCAAACATACAAAGAACTTAAGATATAACTTGTTTTGACTTGTGAAAGACGCCAGGTTACTGTATTATTGCATTAAGGATGAAGGGATCTGCGTTTGCGGATCGACAGTTTTGCAATAATAAATAAAGCGCAGGGGTTTTTCTTACTTATATTTTGACCGTTCAAGATTATATTTTAATTAAATACGAAACAATAGACACTCCATAAATTTTTAACATTTTCATTCTCTGCGTTTCGACTATTACTTTGTAGCTACAACGTAATATTTGAAACGTAGAGAATGAACATGTTAACAATATATGGAATGTCTATTGTCTAATTTGGGTTTAGTTAAATATTAATTACAAAGACTATATGTGTAGTAAATACTGTATTTTAGGGTAAAAAGTCAATCTTTCTTAGAGAATTTAAGAATCTATTGTTTTTTTACTAGATATTCCTTCTATTGGGATTTCGTCAAGTGCATCGAAATATACTTTAGAGGGCAAAACAATTCGCTTTATATGTCAAGGAGAAGATCGGAGCTTTCTTCCCATTCAGAAGATAGAGCTAGTTAAAGATGGAGTTCCCTTCTATCAACGGCTGGTGAAAGTGCAGTCTTCTTTTTGGTATTATACCACGCAATGGTATAGTGCAAGACAAAATGACGCGGGAAAATACCAGTGCAAAGTAACTATTGGTGCAGCATCACGATACTCTTCCCCCTTCTATTTAATAATCGGAAGTAAGTAGAGAAAATACTTTTTTACTTTTTCAAAACACCTAGCTTGATTAGCGTGGTATATTGAACTGAAATTTATTGAACGAAAAAAAGACTTAAGGTCTAAGATCTACATCGTCATGGGAAATTCGGCATTTAAAACGAACATTAACATTATCCTTCAAATTATTTTTCTTCAATGGAAACATAGATCACAAACTCCATAAAAGGACAGTGGCATCCCCAATGCGAGGGGATCGTAGTGGAGAGGGGGCTGCCCCATCCATTTTCCTCAGAGTTTGTTAGATTCGTTCAAATTCGCTAAACATTGGGGTGCATTCGATAAAATTGTGGAAAATTTAAGCTCCTTGACATTTTTACACTTTTCAGCTTATATAGACTGTAGTATGATGTCCTAAGATATTGATATCCTAGGATACTGTATGATATCTTAAGATACTGTATAATATCCTAAGATACTGTCGCGACGCATTGTGAAAAATCCTGGGTATAATGTAGGGAACAGGGTAAATTATTCTTCACATATGTATATGATTATATAGTTCCATCTGGACCTGTTGTTTTGGAAGAAACCAAAACTAGTACAACTGGGATCAAAATTTCATGGAAACCTATCTCAAGAACGTTTTGGAATGGAGAGCAAATAACGTTTGAAGTACTTGTTGTTTCTTCAGTGGATCTTTCGAAGAAAAAATCGTTTGTTACGAAAACAACCAGTGCAATTATTTCGGGCCTACGTCCAGCAACTACATACATTGTCAGTGTAGCAGGAAGTACAGTTTTTGGTCCTGTTCAAAATGTTACCGTAACGGTGGAAACAAAAGAAAGTAAGTTATATAAATTGACGTGTATACATATTAGCGTCACACATGGTCTCTCGCGCTTTTGTTTTATCTTTTGCATAATCAGCAAATAATGATAAAAATGTGTTGTTTTGTAATTTCCAATACGAATCAGATAAAGGAAGCTAGGACTCTCAAAGAGTGATTATAGGACGGATTATGAAACATAGATATAAGACGGATTATCAAAATATTAGAATTATTATTAATTTTTTTATTAACTTTACAATCGTACGTATGATTGATGGTCAGAACAACAGAACATAAGTTTCTAATTAAGTCCCATGCACCAAAGAGTTACATTATTACAATATTACATACACATGTTACAAAAACACTTAAATATTAAGCAATTATTGGATGAGGCTGAGCATGATATCAAGAATTATTCAGACCGAGGTCAATGTTATCTGCCGAAGCGAAGCTGAGGCGGATAACCTAGACCGAGGTCAGAATAATTCTTGATATCATGCGAAAGCCGAATCCAATAATTGTTTTATTATACATTTAAAGACATGAGAAAGGTATAAAACGATTCCTGTTCATGAGGTAGGAAAAGTACAATTTGAGTATCAAACACCTTGCACAAAGTCAAAGGTCAGCTAAATATTCTATTTCTACTTCTATTTACCCCTTTGTGGCTTTTTTCGTGCTTTCACTATCCTTATCTGCCAATAATTTGGAGAGTTCACTTTCATTCAGCGAAGCAAATCTGCTGTAGGCCATTGTTTGTTTTTTTTTTTTCGCGCGCTTATAGGTTCAAGCTTTTGGCCGCGCAAGGGTTTGGGCACGAGAGAGTCCAATAATTTTTTTTTTGGATGCAAGTTCGATCCAAAAAAACAATTATTGGACGCTGATGACGTCATCGGCGGAAAATACGTAATAAATGCCAAATACTGAAAATTAGCCGGTGCTTTCTGACCAATTAGAAAGAGAATACATATTAAATGTATAATAATA